CCGGGAGAACAACTGTGCATCAATTAGATGACATATGTTTTTTGTTTTATGATTGCCGGCGTACAAAACGAGTATCAGCTGACCAAGGACCGTGAAAGCATGACAACCCATTTGTGTAAGACACGAGGACAGTGAATTTATCGATTCACCTTCGGGATGATTCACTGAAGCAGTTTGGATGAGTATATAAGCATTCAGAAGAGGGGATATCCGACAACCGCGCGCCCTTCGATTGGCTGCGCTACACTCTCGTGCTTGTTCGTCACGTTGGAATTTATCGTTTAACCCACTGATTAGTTGCTTGGTGAGAGTCGTAAAAGCCCTTGGATCAAAAATCGCAGACGGGCCGGATGGCAGACTGCACTTACTCGCACACCTGCCAAGATGACTGTGCCACCATTGGTCAGCACCAACGTTCGCTCGCTATTCGCAAAGATCTGGGATCTAGCCTCTGTTCTGAACACACGCATTAATTCCAACACATGTGTTGTTTGAGTACAAGAAACATGGCTAAACCGAAACATCGAAGACGTTCTCGTGCGAATAGAAGGGTTTGNGATCTCGGATTTAACTTCTATTCTGAACACATGCATTAATTCCAACACATGTGTTGTTTGTGTACAAGAAACGGCTAAACCGAAACATCGAAGACGTTCTCGTGCGAATAGAAGGGTTTGATTGCTACCGGCAGGACAGACAGCGAAGTAGGAAAAAAACCGGTGGCGGTGTGGCTACTTACATCAATGTTTCCTGGTGTGGCAAGTCAGAGGTTATATATAACTACTTTGAAAAGTGCCTTGACTGTGTGTCTGTTCGTTGTCACCCTAAATTTTCTCGTCACAAAAGTACAATTATCTGCAATGTGTATATATCTTCCTCGTGTACTCGGACCGACATTTCTGCATTCTTTGATTCCTATATTCCATTTCTAGTTCCATTATTAGATGAAAATCTCCACTTACTTGTTGGTGATTTCAATCATGCAAGCATTTCTCCCTTGCTTCTGTTTGGTTTATCTGACATTTCTCATTCTCCTACCAGAGGCAGTTCTGTGCTGGACAGAGTGATCACAAACCATCCCAAATTATTCTCACTCAATTTAGTGGCCCCAGTTTCTACCAGTGACCATAGTATTCTTCTTGTTAGACCTAAGGTATACTCCCGCATTTCTTATCAAGCATTCACACGTTCTACTCAGATAACATTTCATCTAAGGGACTTTTCACCCAACCGTATCTCTCTTCTCAACCGTTCTATTGTGATTGTTCAGTCTTGGTTTGGTTCTTGTCCTTCACTTTTTAAATCTGTCAATCTCTTCAATGATACGATTAAATCAATCTTTGAATTGTGCTGTCCAATGCAAACCTTGTTTGTCTGTAACGGTAGAATCACCTCGCCCTTTTTGAAATCACTGAGAAGGTACAAAGAACTGGCTTACAAATCTCGTCTTGCCTCACTTGTAAAGCACTATTCTGAGTTAATCAGGTCCGAGATGACGTACCTCGATGCAATCTTCGCCGCCCAAATTCTGCGAACGAAGAACACCAGGCTCTTATGACAAGGTATTCGCCTTCTCTGTGGGCAGAAGAGAAAACATCCTAATACCTCTGTGGATGTCAACAGCATCAACGCCACTTTCATTCATCCGTCAAACGAGAGCCAGATTCCCTTATTACTATGCAAAGGATCCACTTCAGTGTCTTTTTGCAATGCTTTAATCTTTAAGCTTCTTCAATCCTGCAAAGCATCTTCAGCTGAAGGCCCTGATGGTCTTCCTTCGGCACTTCTGAAATTTGGAGCAGCTTCCCTAACCAATATGATGACATCCATTGTCAATGAGTCCTTATCTTCCCGATCGATTCCTGATTCTTGGCGTCCAGTGACCATTATTTCGATCCCCAAATCCACGTCCTCAACTGTTCTTGTGAAACGGTTTCGTCCTATCGCGTTGACCTCAGCGGCTCTAAAGGTAACTGAAAAAGCCACTCTGAGTCAATTGCAGTCAGACACCACAATTCCTCACGACCCGCTTCAGTTTGCATATAAACCAAACAGATCTACATTGGATGCCGTGTCCACTCTAATTCATTTTGTCAACAAGTCATTGGACAATTTGGCCAAGTCTGTCCGTTGTGTTTTTCTTGACTATTCGTCTGCGTTTGATTCTCTGTCTCGATCATCCCTTCTATTCAAATTTGAATCCTTTGGCACTCCAAAACAGCTGCTCTCATGGCTTGCTGAATATTTCACAGAGAGGATCCAGTGTACCAAATTATGAAGGAGGACATCAGACCTCCTGTTAATAATTCTGGTGTTCTTCAAGGTGCTGTTCAATCTTCATATCTTTTTTCTGCCTTTATTAATGATCTTTCTGTCCCACCTCCTGCGCACATCCAAAAGTATGCTGATGATATAGTTTTGTCTCAGACAAATTCATCTCCCTTGGACTTTCATTCTTTTACTGAAAACCTATCTCACATCCAACAGTTTTCTGACCAATCTGGTCTCATTCATAATATATCTAAGTGCGTAGAGTGTATTTTCAGTCTTTCCCGCTCCTCATTTCCAACGGACACTGCTAGTCCTAACGATAAACCTGTATCTAGAATGACCTCAGTGAAGTACCTGGGTGTCACCATCCACAGCAATCTTCGTTGGTCTACACATAATTACAACTGTGTGGGAAAACTGAGACGCCTATCTTTTCAGTTACGCAAACTGAGGCAATTCCGAACCCCACAATCAGTCCTGTCATCTTTCGTTCATCAATGCGTTTTACCCATTCTATTCTTTTCCAGTTTTCCCTAGTCGTTTGACCGATCTCGACTGACGGAAAGGTTTCGGGTTTGAAACTCCATAGGACGATGAACCTAACGATTAGTTTCCTTTGCAGTAGTTCACAGGAATGGCCAATCGATATCAGACTCGTTCAAGTTGCATTTTGTATATTGAACCAGGTTTGTATGATCCTATTAGGCATACCTGAACCAAGCATTCAAATTTTGCATCAGAACCTTAAAATTCTTGCTGGTTAATTTGTAACTTTTATTGTTTTTAGACTGCTTATCGAAAAGCTGGATACAAAATAGAAAACGCTGCTTCCTACTCAATTCGGAGTCTCTTTTTTATAATTCACAATTTTAGAGTTTTTTAAATTTGCGTTAGAATAATCTCAAAGTGACATAATTACTACTAATGATACAATTCATTAGAAGCGATCATTAACATGATTTAAGAACTTGAGAAATCCACACACAAGAAGTGTTGAACAAGTTTATCAACATGGGATTGCGTAGACAGAGAGCTCGGAACCTCTCCGCCCAGAGAATCACTTACGATCGGAAGTTTGAAGACAGAGTCTCTCGCTGTACAGACTCTCTCCGGCCGCATTGTGCGCTTTCACTCGAGCACGATAGACGGAGCGGAAATGTAGTCCCTCCACAGTGCATATCGTCTCCGGTCCTCGGTAGACCTTCTATAATATATAAACATGAGAAATGGTTCCGGGAAAGTGGTAGATGACAGGCTTATCGGTTAGTAGAACCCGAGGAACATTGTAAAGCATGTAACGAGTGAAAAACTATCAATAGGTTTGTAAAACAAAATATAACGAATGTCTTCGTAATTGTGTTCAAAACACAGTGTTTAGTTGAAGAAAATGCCACCAATTCGCTGACATGCCAGCTACTATACACCGTTATCCCGTAATCGTGTAATGGTCAAAATTACACAGAGGCTCATAAATCACCGCTGATCGATACGGTTTTACGAAAGAAACCTTTGGGTTTTTCCCACAAATTTAGTACTGATTGATTTGAGAAAATTTGGCTTGCGGTAGACTATTCTGGCCAAACCGATTTACGTCCATGACATACCAAAGGGAATAAAAATATCGACAATCTGAAATTCATGACCAGAACAATCGTCAGCAGAAAATAAAAAAAGAAATGATAGATGATCCCGCCAATGCGTCTATGGGCTTATCCCGGTCGGCAATCGGCAATGAAACTCACAACATAACTACTTTGTTCCAGGCCGAGGAAGTTGATGGGAAAAGCATATAAATTTTCCGGGAAAATCGATGCAGAAATGCTAAAATATTAATGTGAATCAACGCAACCGAGGTAAATCAAGGCAACCCGCGTTCTTTTTCAATAAAAATGGATTAGATGAACTCTTGAAACAGTGAGTGCTTCTCGGACGGCATAAACTGAACGCGTCAACCTTTGAAAAATGTAACACATTAAACTACCCGAAATCATTTATGATCGTTAACACCCGAAATAAAACCCTGAAGTTCCGTAAACCGTCTTCAAAAGAAAATGTCAAATTGCAATACTACACCAGGACCGTTTCGCCGCATCTCGATGTTTATATCGGTCTTAAGCCTCGTAACACAGTCGTGTTTTTTGCGCAATTTGTGTGACAAAGAGTCCTCTGAGGGCCGCAGATCATACTAAAATTCTTTTATGAGTACTGAAGTAAACAACACCTAGGGTACAAATTTGAAAGGAATGCTTCTCAAGGAAAACACACATCGGACCAAACGGCATCAGAGCTCAAACCGCGCCGCGGCGCAGTCACATCAGATGTCACGTGACTTGTCGGTCTCGCTATCGATCTTCTCAGTATGGACAGATCTGATGTGTATGGATCTGCTTTTCACCCAATCACCCAATAAATCGTGTTGGCACAATTGCAGTCTGCGAGTTCCAATTCGGTGACTTGTTTTATTCACAAACCCGAGGGTGTACAGTTATAACACTAAAAATCCAATCATCAGAACAGTATGACCATGTTTTTCACTTAAACGTGCAGGCGAAGTTTCAGATTGTATTGTATTTCCAACATTCAGATTTACTTTTTTCCGCAGTAGTAAATTTTATCCCTGGTTTTTCTCACGAAGCGGCTTTAATTTGCCTCTTAGGATATGAACATTCAGTTATTACACAATCACTGTTCGGTAGAAATTGCGTGGTAAAAAACGAATGAGTATACGCTACATATACAAAAAATAAGGAAAATTTAGCAAAGATTTGTCTAAGGGTCCCAATGACAAGATTGGCGTTAGTAAGAAACCGTGTAAAGTACGGTATTACAGAAGACTTGTAAGTGGCGGTGCGTGCTGCTATATGCTTATACTCGGAGAGCATGCTAGATGGGGAGATACATTGACTAAGGTGAGGGTACAGTGGGTGAGATGGGTCAAGTAATATTCTGGTAAAAAGTTTCTGGCAAGCCCCGAAGTGCCGTGGAATAATAAACTGCACAACATACTCACGAGATATACCATCGTATCGGCATGCGTGTTTGATGGATGTACGTAGGAGTTAGAAGCCTTTGATTAAAAGACCCGAAAAAATAACTGGGGATGCATAAAGCCAGTAGGGTAGGATACCAGAGAAAACAAAACGTTTTATTAAGTGAGTTGGGGTAGATAGCATTTTCAAACGAATAATGTAAAACGTGAGTTTTCTGACTTTGTGGAATGACTGGATGACATGAGAAGACCAAGAGAGATTGCGGGAAATGGTGACTCCAAGATATTTGACGGAGCATACTCTGGAAACTTGTTCTCCATTGATAATGACATACTGACAAGAGTTCATCACATCAATGCATTGTTTACCCTCCAGCAATGAAAATAAGGCATATTTGCACTTGGCTGGATTTATTCTAAGGTTGCATTGTGAGGACCAGTCGGTGAGCAGTTTGGGGTACACGGAGGAGTTCGAAAACCTCATGCCATACACAACGTCATCAGCATATTTAATGAGCAAACAATCATCCAAAGCAGGCATTGAAGAAATACAGGTTGTGAACAAGAAGGGAGAGAAAATAGCGTCTTGAAGAACTCCTTGAGTGAAGGATAAAAGTGAACAGTTACAACCCTTATATTTAGTAAACTGTGATCAATGGGTGAAATAATTAGTTAACAGATTGGTAAGCTCCGGCTGAATGCCTTTCTAAGAAAGTGTGAAGAATTTTGGGCCTGTCAACACAATTAAAGCGTCACTATCATCAAAGAACCATAGCCGAACAGTTTGCATTTCTTGTCCAAGGGCGAAGAGATAAAAAATGAGGGATGCCAACGGATCAATGGTTGACCTGGAACTTCAATAGGCAAATTGATTGGGATCAGGTGCATTCAGCTGGGACAACATCTTCTGTAGTAAAACCTTTTCCATGGCTTTCAAACCAAGAGAAGTGTAGGCAATCGGGCAAAATTTGGACGGTCCCTTTTTGGGTACTGGCGTGATAGAAGCCACTCACCAGCAGTCCGGAATGCAATGTTTGGTAAAACACAGGTCGAGAAGGTCGGCGAAAACAGGGAAAAGGGAAACTGCACATTCTTTCAGCACAACAGGTGGCAGTCCATCAGGACCGCACGCTTTATTAGACTTCAGAATGATGAAAGTTTTGAATACTTCTGTTTGATCGGTAATTAAATTCATTAGGAGCAGGGGCGATCACTATGAATGGAATGGGGATGTCGGGTTCAGCATTGCTGAATTGGCGATTGAGATCGTCCACATTGGCAGCTGGAAGATTCTCCTTCGTTTTGCGACCGTAGAACAGAAAAATCATTTTCCATGTATCCCGACAATTCTTGTTTTCCAGCAGTTCATGTACATCAGCGGCGTTTAATCTCCGCAGTTCCGTCTTGATTGCTTCGAATGGTCTCTTACCAAAGAGTACTTTTTTGCTTTGAAAACTTGTTTTTTCTTCTGACGTAATCGTTCAAGTGTAGGGGACGGAAAACGGTCTGACCGTATGTATGAAGTTTCCCACGGGCAGCACGTATCATAGCAGAATTTCGAATATTCAGTCAGGGCATTAAAATATAGAGGGGTCATTATGTACAAATAAGGGGAAATCTGTCTGATCTGATATATCTCTTAGGTTGGTGAGATTTTGGGGTTGCCACTGACGCCGACAGAGACGACGATCATGATGCCGAGTATATGACTGATGATTGGATCTACTGTAGATTTTGGGAGATACTTTCAGTGTTGCATGATCAGAGGTGCCAATAGGGGAACGGCTGCGCAAGTTAAGCAAATTCAAGTCATTATTGAAACACAAATTAAGACAAGCCTTGCGTCTGGTCGGAAAGTTAACAGCGTTTTCTGGTCCAAGGGTTATTCAAAACGTGACATCTAACCTATCGAAGTCACGACACACGATGCAAAGGGAGGAGTCAACGTAATTCAGTAGGTTGACTGAAGATTTAGAAGGAACAGCTGCATTCGAAAGAGAGTTGGTTGCATATTCATCAAAATTTTGAGGAATTAAATATAATCACTCCAGGTCAAAAAAATTCCTTACTTGTCTACCTCCAATGGTTTGCGTTAACGTTTTCATTTTTACTCTCAGAAAACCCGTACAGGCATCTTCTCCTTGTACTCAACACTTTTGATTTTTCGGTTTTAGGTCCTTTTCTTCTATTCCAGTCATCTCTTGTGCTTTCTGATGTGCTATTTTCTCATCTTTCATTTTCTCCTTTCGTTCCGAAGATTTCCCGATCCCCATAAATCCTCAATTGGTGCTGTGTCCGTAGCCTTATCGTATTTCTACTCTTTCCATAGATGGAACTTTTCTGGCGACCCAACTCTCTTCTTCGGTTCCATATGAACTCATTTCATGCATGTTTGTTTGCGATTTGTTCCTCTTCAATGAACCAGCGCCTGCTACATTTATTATACCGATTTGCTATTCCTTAGAGTTTTCGAACATCGCGCTCCGAAAGCGACCACCAACATAAATTATACTCTTTCCTCTCAATCCTCATCACATCTTCGATGTTTACCTTCAGGTAGATAAGAAATTCTTTGAAACCATAATAACTCTCAGCGCTCCCCCCCCCGGCCGACGGATCTTCTTAGAAAATTCTTCCTCCTCAGTCATCTACTTATGAGGATAGCACTGGTTTTTCCCTCGTCCGCTTTGTGATAGATTGTTGTGCACAAACTATGAGGCTATCTTTCATCAGGACTATAGAGATGTCATGCTAACCAGTTTCTTCACAATAGACGAAAATTCCGATTACACTCAGTCCATTTTGGACGCCTCAAGCATTTTTTCAGTTTTTTTTTCAAACTCAAGGTTGAAGCTGCGTATATACACAAAACATTGGTTCGATGTGTTACCGGTTCGACGTTCCAATCATTTAAGTTATCCACGGATGGGGTACTCTCCGCATTTGTACTCGGAACAAGAATGCAGGTCTCAAGCGGTAACTTTGCGCCATTGCTTGATGAAAGACTTCTTAGCATGGTCGCATTCTGACGGGGTGGAAAATGCACACGTTGTAAGCAAAAATGTCCCTGTGTGATATTGATTGGGATGTTTTCTACCCATGGAAGTATATGTTAGCTTCGAACGTTTCCATGAATTCCACTGCAACAATGTTAGTACTTGCTTTGGTGGAATAAAGCAGACAGTTATTGAACTCGATCACCGGATACACTCCGGACTGGGTTCAACCAGGGATTGCTTATTTCCTTTTGTTCGGCGGTTTGAAGGAACCTGAAGATAATCGTGGTCAACAAAATGGTCCGGATTTAGCAAATGCTAGACAGTCCGTAATGAGACACACGATATTGTGGTAATCGAGGAAAATCATTCTGTTTGTTCCTCTACAGGTCAAACAACACTGGGCTGGTCAAGCTTGTTGAGGCGATTAAAGCCAATCGTGCGAGACTGAACCCCAACCTTCCACGGTGTGTAAACAAAACAAACTGTTTGCTACACTCACGCTCTGCCCCTACAACAGCTGTGACTGTTTACAAACTCGTTTTCATGTCGTAATTCATATATAAACTGTAGATCAATTTGTAGTAAACTCCAGTTACGTTGTAACCAAATCGTTCCGGGAAATAAATCGTAGTGTTATGACACAGGTTTTCCACCCACCCATCCACCTCGTATAACGTTAATTCGTCATTCAGATCCACCTGACATGTGCTATAGAAAGATAATGTCTTAGAAAGTGTGTGGACGGAGGTGTTTTCTTTAAGTTTCTTATTGGGTTCGGGAAATGTATCTGATGATTGTCATCTGTAATATTGATCCACGTGTTGACACACTGGGAGGTTGAGTGCAACGCCACTTCCCGGGGGTTCACCGTTCCTTTCTGAGTTCTTCCTTCATCAGCCAGTCATTCGAATTGACCTCATTTACAAACATTTTTTGCTGCGATGTGTCATCGGTTGTTTGTGAATAGAGCTTTGAACAAGACTGAATGATGTCTAACTATAAAGATGTATGCGTATTGAGTTGGGAACGAGGAAATGTCCGTGATTAAAGTGTTTCTTTCCCATTTAGCACCCAAATTATTTGCTACTACTTAAAATAACTTTTAATTATGGTAAATATGCGGTTGTTTTAACTGATACTGGGCTCGATGTTTCTCATCATACGGTAACCGTTCTTGAACATTTTAAAGTATTACAACAAAAAGTCCACTTTAATTAGGGGTGTCTCAGACTGCGTCGGCTAAGTTAGATGTTGCAACAGAAATGGAGATCAGGTGCTATGTTCCGGTTGCTTTACTTCTGGTAACAAAACAGTTGATCCCGATTGCATCGATAAAGCGTAGACACTTAACACAAAACTTACTTTATTCCAACGTTTGAACGTATTACTCGAATGCAAGGAGCTATTTGAGACCAGTTGAGAAAGAATATTGACTAACACGCTATCGATTCATTGAGTTGCCTCAGTGTTCTTGTGTGACCAACATTGTTCACTAAACAGCGCGGTGGGACGAGGCAGTAAAATGAAATTTTCTGATGTAGATGCCTCCGTTGAACGTTTGTTTCTAATTAAATGATTCATTAGCGTCCTTTGGGTACAGACAAGTCTGTTCATTTACACGAACTTACACTGTCAAGGTCTGTTGAGTTAGTGCATCAACTGTCACCTCGGTATACGCCTCGCTGGGCGAAATTTGACAGCATATGTACACATTATTGTTTAGCAGACAGGTGAGCAGAACAGATGGGCAGGAGTCTTTTTGTGCTGAAGATATTTCACTTGTCCATTCAACTGACCACCATTCACACACAAAAGCAGTCACACATTTGTATCGATTTGTATCGCTGACGATTATGTCCTCATCACCGTTTTCGTTCCGGGGTCGACGCATTCCAGTGCGCCCTGTCGTTACATCAGACTCATGGGTGGGGAAGCATATTGTTGTCACTCAAACTGGATGTGGATGATTAGTAATCAAACTGGAAGCGGGCATTTTGGTATTTTTGGTGAAAATTTTGTGTTTTTGCATGAGTGGAGCCTAAAATTTATATTGTCTCTGAAGCAGGGACTTTGGCCGTTTAAACGCAAAGAAGCTGGCTGGTACCTGAACACAATTCACAATGGATGAAAACCGCACTTTACTCACCCATTCTTAATGAAATGACCTTCAAAATGATCGTCATCAAAACAACTGTGACACTTCGGTAATAATTTGCCAATGAGGTTCATAGACAAAAACAATTTGTAAATATTGAAATGATTAGGCGTGTCAGTTATAATAAATCAATAAAAAGACTCTCAAAGTGAATAGAAAAACATGTACTCCATATTCAAGCCATTCGGAGAAACAATAGGATTATTGATGACCACAATAAAAAAAAATAAATGTTCAGTTAAGATAAATTGGTGCAGAACAGATCCAACTGTTACCATGTTTAAATGCGAATCTTAATTTGCATGCTGAACACCGGATGCACGCCTGGTTTCAAACGAAAGAAACAATAACCTGACCTAAAATGTTTTTGATTCCCGATTAAAGCTACTTTGGTTTTCAGTTCACTGCAACACTGGGTTCCGTTTCAAACAGATGCCGTTGGCAGCCGTCCGTCATGGAAACAGGGACAACGTTTCAATTCAACGTAGTCATTCCGAAAACCACCCATGTATGGTCTAGCTCCTCAATCCGCCAATCTTACTTGGGGATTGACTGCATCGCTATATGTGACTGAACGAAAGACTTTGAGTGAAAGTGTTTGTTGCAGATCGTAGTCCAGGTTTTCCCAAACACGGTAGTTTTAGTCTTTTTTCAGTTCTAGTCCCGAGCTAAGTGATACGGAATTGCTGACGGAGTGGGTTGCCGCTAAGCAGGCGTTTACCTTAACATATGGTGAAACTGATCAGTAAAAGAAATCGGTACATTCGTGAATATTATATCCTTGCTGGAAAACGCCAAACAGTGACGTGTTTGTAAAAGTTTATTGGTCCGTGTGTTGTGGATTCACGTCCAGCAGTGGTCCATCTTTTGTCCTGTGACAATTATCAAACTTGCTCATTCCACGTTCTTGAAATTAATCGTACATGAATTGGAAGCAAACAGTTGTTATTATGACCATTTTTTGTCACACACCGATGAGTGATAGACGGCAGACAGAGTGGAACTCCACAGTCACAAAGATCTGCTGTTCAGTGATGGCAACCGGCAACCTAAGCCCAGCGGGACTTGGATTGGCGAATCACGTAAGGCCCCGATAGGTTAGGCGTGACATTGAACCGGGCGACAGCAAAGCGTGCTAACACCAAAGTTGGGTGGCAGTGACGGGGCACGAACCTAGAGTCCAAAGTGCACCGGTGATAGCGACTAAACCAATACTCCACCACCATCCCTTTTCGATACAGTTTGAATATGAAATGGTTGAATTAACATGGCTTGAACGGGATACAGCTCTTTATCTGTCGTGTGGTCGAGTGCACGGAGGAATCTGGGTGATATCTTGCACTTACTGTACACCAAGTTTCCCCTAAAAACGTTCTCGGATGAATAAAAACGTTTTATTTATTACACAGAAGTAAGCATTACATTTTCTCGAACTGATCTCCACCAGCGTTCATGCACAGTTCCATGTGCTTAAACCATTTGATGAAACAGCTCGACTGTACAGGAGTGGGTAAACCTTCGAAGAGTTAAATAAAGATATTCACTACTGCTGTTGGTGATTCGCATCAGATTTCACGCATCATGAACATAAAACATCGCACGGAGCCACATCCGATTCTTCACTTAATCCCGTAAATTTTTTCAGATATCTCTTTACATTATCCAGCTCTTTGTTCCAATTTGAACTGGTATTGATTGGTTTAGACCAGTATCTCGGGTAAAGTGAATCAAATATCCCGTGGTTTTATCAATGATAATCAGTATGGGACCTCTCATATTCCAGATATCTTCAGTCAGCGTCGAAGACTTTCTTTCCACAACGGTGAACTTTGTATTCAACAATCAATTGAATCCAAATTCGAGTACCAGTGTGTTTTCTCCGTTTGGCTTTATTGGTCCCTTGTTTTTTTCCAGTCTCCTAACGAAAGATTTCAAACTGCTTCGACGTCTGACTGACCATCATTTGCAGCGTCCCTTCAATCCCACTGGAAAATTTGGTAACTGACCTGAACGAACGTTAGTTGAATGCTTGTGAAAAGTTTGCACACAAGTTACTATGGTTTACATCCGCTATATCCAGATTTCACTGCCTGCCTTTCCCATTCATCAATTAGATCTACCGTACTCTTTTGACCACGTAGTTCACTTTGATAAAGCTTTTCTCTCTCTCTATCTCTCCAATTTGTACACTTTTAGCTGAAATGTAGGCTTTTCACCTAACTTGGTTATAATTCAATACACTATAATCCGCCACTTGTGATATGGATAGAGTTTGGATAGCGAGAGGATCTGACTGGATGCCTCAAGAAAAACACCTTATGAAAAATCACCGATTTAGCTTTTCAACATAACAATGACCGCACTGAAAACGTGTCTTCCACAATGCTTCGATTCGCAATATTATCCACAAGATAAATGTACAACCCTATTTGCTCAGCAAAATGCAAGAGACTGTTTGATGAAATCCATCTGAGAAATGGAACCAACTCGGTCTGGACAAAGTAAAGCTGTACATTTGGGCTAAATTACTCACACGAAAGTTCCCGTTCGCTCCATCATCCAACTCCAGAGTGTACTTTGTGATCACCGTCGGGGATGTCGGTTGCCAGACAAGAGTGATCACATTCCGTTCAGAGATACATGCCTCAACAATGAATCGAGGTGCAGCAGGAACTGCATTGTTAGAATGGATCACGGAAATGGATGAGGTGAAACATCGAGTGAGTAAATCGATCACAAAAGTGTCACGGTGTAATGAATGAGTATAAAGAATGCACTAGAATCAGTGTCGCTCTGGGGAATAATTCAATATTATTGAGTTTGACCAGAAGAGAAGACGGAACGATTGCTCGATCTGTTTATCGAAAGGAAACCTGGACAGGCCAATATTTATAATTCGAGAGCTTTATGCCCCCTGGCCTTGTTCGGACCTTATTTGATAGAACGAGGCAAATCTGCACGGAAGACAGAATTTATCAAGAACTGCAAAACCTTTTAGCAAAAACGCTTACCCCGAAGCGTTTGCTAATAAGCACAGCAAACCAAGAATTGCGAAAGAACCGATAGCATAAGTTCCAAAATTGCGGGTAACATTGCATCTTCAATTCAAAGGTGATGACGTAAGCCGCCTGCTCAACAAACGACTAAGGTCAGCAATCGCTCGAACCTACTACGCAGCCGACTCCCAAATCGTCTACCGGACAACCAGGATACCCACACTCCCGGCAAAAGAACGTCTGCCACTGTACGCCAACTCTAATCTAATCTACCAATTCCAATGTGGTTGCGGAGCGACCTATGTGAGCCAAACAGAGCAACAATTACGCAATCGGGTGGTGGAACATATTCCGAATTGGGTCCAAACACACCTGACACATTGAGGTCAAGTCCGCTGCGTAGAATCGACGGTCGAAACCACAAGACACCATCATCAGCAATTGATCGACATTTGCTGATGACGCAACACCAGCTAGACCGAGGCACAGCGTTTCGAATCGTCTACAAGTCACAAGTCGCAAGATTGCTAAGGTTTGCCGAAGCGATTGCAATTATTCGATGGAAGCCCCCCCCCCCTGTGTCAGCAAAACGAACTTTACGTTAGTCTCTCCCTACCCTGGTGATATTGGTCCTTTTACCCCTCCTTTTATGTTTTGTCTGTTTTTAATGTATTTTGCCTCACTCTGTTGCTATGCTAAAACCCTATATAAACATTGTATTTTCTGCAGTATGCACCATGTTGAGATGCAGCGAAATCGTCCTGGACATACATCGTGCAGTATTGCCGTACGATCTTTTCCTTTGAAATTAATCTCGGGAAAGGCTTGTTTCAGTTATTCAGTTTAATTGGTGCAATCATTTCACGATCAATAAGCACCCTTCAGTGCTTCTTTAGGCGGTCTTGACACAATACAACAAAATGATCCGTAAACCTCCCTTTTGAGGGAATGAATTTACGAGGAGTACCTTTTGGGTGAGCATGATGGAAAGACCCAATCTTACTCCTACATTTCAAACCCCTAATCGGGGTAATATTAAGTTTGTGGAAGAGAATGTGTGAAATGTGCGATGCGGTTATTGATGCCAAATAAAATCCAATTTAAATGTTGAATTCGTCGTGTAAATGTGACACGAGATGAAAACCCGGAGAGCACTCAATGTACAGCTGTTTCTACCTGGTTGGGTCTTATCCGAGCAGTGCGAATCCATAAACCCAACTAGGGATTGAACCCGATTTGNATATTCTAAATGAGAAACGGTCTAATCAGTTGACCAGTAGCCGAGTGGGTAGTATGCTTGCGTTATACGGCGGGCCTTTAAATTTCGGCCATACGACATTTGTGCTCCAGTGGATAGTTTATCAACTTTTAAGTCACAAATCGGATTTAATCGTTTGAATCAAGATTTCTTTCATCGCCTTCACGATTACGTACGCCCCGGAATCTTTAAAGAATTTGTAACATTATGTGCTATCGCGCAAGAGTGGCATTCTCTATCAGTTCAGTCGTCAAGTTAAAAATAGATACAAAA